AAGCTTGGTTATTCGAGCTGTAATGGACTTTCTGGTAGCAAGCGTTGATTTGGGAAACAAAAACTGTTGTATGCTGTTTACGGTTATGCATCACTAATTTAAGTGAATTATATCATGAAATCTAACTAAGCAGGTAACCATTTATACTGAGTGCTTACCAAATGCCAGTTCTCACACATCTGACACTTTCAGGCTCTCATGTTCACCCAAGAAGTCTTGTGGCAAATTTATATTATTCTATTATAAAACTAAAATTAGCTACATCCATAGCGTTGGGGCTGTTTGCAAACCCTACAGACTATATACAAGTAATGAAGCTCTTATACATACTGTACATGTAAATGAGTGTGCAGACTTGTCTTGAACTGAAAATCTCACTCCAGCCAGCTGACCAAAGTTAGCAACCCTGTGCTGATATGAACGGTAACAAACTGTCAAATGTTAAATACAGTAATGCACCTGTATCCATGGGGATACGTTCCAAGACCTACCAGAGAGATCCGAAACTGTGGATAGTAGTAAACACTATAAATTACTTTTGGTGTACTCACATACCTATGATAAATTTAAATTTATAAATTACACTGAGACCGTGGTTACCAAATCAGCGGATACGGAGGTTTCACTATGCTGCTCTAGTGAGCTTCCTAACCAACAATAATGTTAGCCTGCTAGCTAACTATCTAGTCAACTAAACCATTACTGTCACGCCCAGCAGGGTAGGACAGCCCAATTAGAAATCTTCGCCAAGCCTTTAAAACCTGACGTGCCCTAGCACCGTTTGCGAAGTCTTTCGGTTTGCCTTGTCTCTTCCTGACCTGCCCATTTCTCGCTCACCTGCCCCCGTTCTGCCTGTTCCTGCTCTACCTGCTCCCATTCTGCCTGCTCCTGATCCGCCCGCAACCCTCTGTCTGTTCTGCTCTGTGTTTCTGCTTCTCATCGCTTGTGTACTCGTAGGACTGACTCCTCCGGATACTACTCAGGAACTGTTCTCCCAACAACGCCTTTTGACTATCAATTCCATCTCTGGTTGACCATCTTCCTGAATATATCTTCTGGAGTGCAGTAATCAGGTGTATGGTCACCTCAGTCTCCTGTCTGACAGAAAGCGTCGATGTACGAATATGAACTCCAGGGAGACCCAGCAGCAGCCACTTAATACCCAGGCGAGTGTCGGTAAAATTACCCAACTTATACGCCAGCTCATGGAGGCAAAAGCTGGAGAGAACACAGTACCATCCCCTGCCCTGCGCACTGCTAGCCTGGATCATGTGGCACAACCAGGTAAGTACAATGCCAATCCTAACTGCAATGTTGGCTCCTCAGTGGTGGAACGAACTTCCTCTTGCCATAAGAACGGCGGAGTCCTTTCCTGTCTTCAAACGTCATCTGAAGACACAGCTCTTCAAGGAGTACCTAGGAGACTAACACCCGCCTTACTGTCCACTCTCTCCATTTAAAAAAAAAATCCATTAACAATGTTTGTCTTTGCACTGTTTTTCCCTATAAAGGTTTTTATACAACAGGGTTCTTCAAATCTGGACCTCGATTCCAAATCCAGGCCGTGTTTTCAGTTCTCCCAGGTAGTTAGTTTAGTAATTACTGATTCTGATTGGTCAGAGGCTTCACACCTGACTGACAGGTAAAGGAAGGCTGGAAAACCAGCAATGTTCGGACCTCGAGGACCGTGATTTGAATAACCCTGTTATACAACATACTTAGTAGTGACTTGGTTTTAATGACAGTTGTTGATTTTAGGTCTAGCTTTATAGATCGAAGAACAGTCATGGACTACAAAGCACTGTTGTAAGTCGCTCTGGAAAAGAGCGTCTGCTAAATGCTGTAAATGTGAATGTACTTCCTTCTTAATGCAATGTGAACTCTACATACTGTAGAGGAGCACACAGAGAAATTTCTCGAGGACAGCACTCAGGTTTGCTTTCTCATATCTCTTATGACAGGAATGGTTCTCGAGTTGGCAACACCACATAGGATCAATAGAAATCCATTCCTGGACTCCGCCCACGAAGTGCTCGACCATCCTGTGGTGGAGAGGAGTCTCGGGGATCACCTTGGAGCCTCATATTCGGTATTCCAGCTCTAATATCTTTTAACAGAAGCAAAGTGTTCAGTTCTTAATGACAGAAATGTGATGCCCAGTACACAGACAAGGCGCACACCAATTATTTTAATAGTTAAGAAAGTGCGTCAATTCAGCTGTAACGAGATATTAGTTTAGTATGTTGGGTTGGTAACTGTTGCACTCCTCGTGGTTTTCCAGATGTTTGCATGTGCCCATGTGATATGAAATGAGATGGAATAAAAATGGGCTAATAACTTTAAGGTGCTTTGATCAGTGGACTCTGGGGGACATTGCATACGTCTTGGATTGTCAGGTCATCTATGGTTACAATAGTTATTATTTTGCATCCAGTTAATGTGCAATGGGGCAATGCATGGTTTATAGGACATGTTTGTGTCATTTGGTTTTAGAGTTATTAACCCAGTCATGAACTATCCCATTGTGCATTATATGATACAAATAATTAATGACTATGACAGACAAAGAGAACCTGAAAATCAAATGGTTCGGGAAGGTGTTCCATAGTCGAGGGGCGGCAGAACGGAAAGCCCGATCACTCATGGTGCTGAGTTTGGTCCTGGGAGATGATTTGTAGATCGTAGAGACCGTGTCGAGGTTAGGGGGGTAAGTAGTTCTTTTAGGTAAAGGGGGGCATTGCCATGAATGCATTGGTGAGTGATACAGGAAACCTTGTATTTGATCCTCGCAGAAATGGGAAGCCAGTGTAGTGACTGAAGAATGGGTGTAATGTGTTCATATTTTCGAACTCTCATCAGAATCCTTGCTGCACTGTTTTGTATGTACAGTATTGGAGTCTTTGAAGATTCTTGTTGGACATTCCAAAGACAAGTGAATTGCAGTAGTCGAGTCTGGAGGAGATAGAGGCGTGAACTAGTTTTTCAGCATCTGGCAAGGTGAGAGTAGGACGGAGTTTTGCAATATTTCTGAAGTGGTGGAATAAAGTCTTACTGTGATGTTTAATATGAGCTTCAAAAGTGAGTTGAGGATCAAATCTTACACCAAGGTTCATGGCTGATGAGGCGATGGGAATGTCATAACCAGAGACTGTAATGCTGGGTATGGGGACTGACTGAAGCTGATGCAGGGTACCAACCAAGATCTCTTCAGTTTTAGAACAGTTTAAGAAAATTTTGTTTCATCCACAATCTGATCTCCTCAAGACAGATGCTGAATATCAATGGCATTGATGGTGATGATGATGCTGCAGAGGAGTATTTATCATTTTTCATGTAAAGCTGCGTGTCATCAGCATAACAGTGAAATGAAACTCCATAGTGACTAATGATATGGCCAAAAGGGAGCATGTATAAAGTGAAAAGGATGGGGCCGAGAACTGACCCCTGGGGGACTCCACAGGTCACAGTGTGTGTCCGGGACCATGCATTTCCAAAGGAAATGTACGGTACTGTTCTGTCAGCAAGACAAGATTGAAACCAAGACGAGACAGTGTCAGTTGGTCCAATGGTGTGATGTAACCAATTGAGGAGTATATCATGGTCAATAGTGTCAAATGCAGCAGATAAATCAAGGAGGATGAGCAGAGAAGGTGAGCCTGCATCAGCTGCCATCAACAAGTCATTTGTGACTCTAATCAAAGCTGTTTCTGTGCTATGGGCAGAGCGAAAACCAGACTGAAATTTTTCCAAGATGTTATTGTTTTTGAGGTGATCCTGAATATATATGGCAACTACTTTCTCCAGTACTTTAGACAGGAATGGAAGGTTGGAGATAAGCCTATAACTGGCAAAAACTTCTAGATCAAGAGTGGGTTTTTAAAGAAGTGGTCGGATTATAGTGGTTTTTAAAGCAGATTGAATATAGTCAGCCTGGAGAGAGTGGTTAATGACTGTGGTGATCAAAGGAGTGATGGCAGAGATATTTGCTTTCACTAAAGCTGTAGGAAAGGGATCCAGAGCACAGGTGTAGGGTTTCATCTTCCTAATAATTTCTTCAACCTATTGTTGTGAAACTTCTACGAAGCAGTTGAGAGGCTGGACAATCTCACTCCGTGGAGCAGATAGATCTGGGGGACCATCATAAACATTCTCAATGAACTGGAAGATCAACTGGTTTCATGGGTCTTCCAATACCGTCGTATTCCCGAAGGTGGTTTTGGATCAGGGACCCCAATTTGTCTCATGGGTGTTCAAAGCCTGAACATCTCTAAAAGTCTGTCTTCCAGCTAGGACCTCCAGTCCCATGGCCTGGCGGAGTGGACCGACCAGGTGATTACCAAACACCTCCGACTGGCCTGTCATCTCCCAGAATACACTCAACATACCAGAGGTAACCGGTAACACAATTGTCCCCTTTTTGAGTGTGTTTGGGATTTCAGCCGCCCTTTTTCCTCTGGGATGTGCAGACTGGATGGGCAGGGTGGTGGTGGCAACTGACATCCATAGCCAGTGGGATGGGACAGCCCAATTAGAAATTTTCCCCCAGCTTTTACAACCAGACATGCCCTTGCCCTCATGCCGGTTGTGAAGTGTTTCCTAGCTGAAACATATTGAACGTGCTACTCACCCGGTCTTTCGGTTTGCCTTGCTTGTGCCTGTCTCGCCTGCCCCCTATCCTGCCCTGCCTGCCCCCCATCCAGCTGCCACTGCCCGTCTGTCCTGCCCCATGTGCCTGCTCCTCCTCACTTATAGGACTGATTCCCCCAGCTACTGACAACTGAGGAATTGTTCTCATGAAAGTGGCTTTTGCCCATTGATTCCATCTCAGGTCGTCCATCTTGTTCTCTCAGTTCTCTGTCTGACCACAACTACAAAGATCTTTATTCAGCAACAACAACAAATACACTAACAAGAATGAGCTTTAAAAAGGCAATATTCCTCTTCCACTTTCACAGGTGACTACAAATAGTCATCTGTGAAAGATCTGATGGGACAAATGAACTTATTGGCTGATTCAGATGGCACAGGCTAAAGTTGACCAATTAAGTGGGCAAAGCAGAAATATGGGTGGGCATTGCCCACTTGTAGATCAAGCCATAATTTGGAAGTACAGTATCAGTGCATGACGACGGTATGCAAAAGCAATAACAGATGACAGAGTCTTTGTGCTTATCCACAGTATGGAAGTGCATCGTGATACTGCATCTAATAGCGACAAAATGACGACCCAGCAGGAGCTGAAGCGTTATAATCCCTGGGACAGAACCTTAAAGTTTGTGAATAGGAGGGATGACATCAGTAAGCATTATAATGTGCACAGTGTTTCAAATGACAATGACAATAAAGTCTATCTATCTATAGAACACTTGTAATGTTAAAATGTAAGAAGGCAGCTGGAACATACAAACATACTAATACTCTCTGGGTCTATTAGGATCTGTTACAAAAATATGGTGAATGTAGCATCATTGTTCAAAATACATAATGTCCTTTTTAATCTATAATTTATGGGAAAGAAAATCTGTTGCCTGGCATATGTCTGTCTCAGGGTGGTCTGTGTAGTTTTAGTAAAAATGCACTTTTCCTGTAGCCTTGGATGACGACCCAGAGACCCTGAGGGCGGAAATGTCCTGTGGACACGCTGTCAGCCCAGAGTCTCTGACCGCTTGGTGTCAAAGTCTCCTTGATAAGGTGTGAAACTTTATTTAGTCACTATATTAGCCCTTTCTGTTTCTCCCTAAAGCAGCTTTGCATCTATTCAGCATTTTGATTGCATTTGCAGGGTTTCTCCCTCTAACTCGAGCTTTGCCATTAAACTGTAGGGTCAGTACAAGTTCACATGTCCGGCTCTGAAGGATGGAGGGAATCAGAAGTGTGGGAAGGAGTGGCCCTACCAGGAGGTTCGGAAAATGGCAGTGCTGACAGACAGCGAGCAGAGACATTTTGAGGAGAGGATGGCAGCTCTGGCTGCTGCAAATTTCCATGAATATAAATCGGTAAGTATTATAGTGTGTGAGATAATCACCACCAGTCTGATTCTGCCTGTAAGCATTACTGACTCATCTTTAAGAAATTGTACTTGACTGTGAATATTACTTCACTGGGGATACCTGTAAGTAGTTATGGAAAATGGATGGATTATTGCACTTGATAGACTTAAATTAATATAGAATATTAATATGGAAGTCATGTAGCTGCAGAACTTAGTGAGACTTCAGGGATTATCCTAGTTTTAACAATTTGTCAGATGTAATAAATAAGGTAACTGAAATGAGATTTCTCTTTACTTGTATGAAGTGTCCCAAATGCCAGTCGTTTGTGGAACGGGAAGACTTGACCAATCTGAATGTACACTGCACGGTCTGCACTGCTGAGAGGGGTCGAACCTATGAATTCTGCTGGCAGTGCCTAAGGCAGTGGAAAGGGCCTGGGCCACGGTCCGACCGCTGCAACAACAAAGGCTGTACCAACAAGGATCTGGACCTGCTGAAGAAATGCTCCATGACTATTCTGCCAGAGGTGGAGAACGTGCAGTGTCCCTCCACACGCGCCTGTCCCACCTGTGGCGTACTGATCGAGCATGACAAGAGTGGCTGCAAGAACATAATCTGCTCGAGGTGTCAGAAGGAGTTCTGCTTCGTCTGTCTGAAGCTCACCGCTGAGTGTCTGGAGACCAGCAGTCACTATACACCCTGCTCTGATGGTGTCGCCCCCAGGCAGACATCAATGCCTACCTGGAAAAGAAATTAGATACATTTCCAATTAATTTACTCCCACTACACACAAATCATACATTTTCTGCTTCATATGCTACAGAACTAATATAACTTACAGTTAATGTTACTTACAGTACAGATCTATTTGTGTGTATTTGCTCTGTCTGTAAATGAATGATTTGATTGATTATGTATATTTACTCATTAGGAGAAAAATCAAAATGGTGCTGCACTAATGTAGTACAAGTGGTATAACCAGACATCATTCTTTTATCGGCAGGACAATGACTGGCCTTGATGGTCATTTTAACTTACATTAAACATTCTGCTTGTATTGCTAGTTTTATTTACTTTAAAATTTATTTTGATGGTACATGGTCCCTCCGTGCTATGCACTACCATATGAAAATTTTTTAAAAGCCATTGCTGCATGACAATATCACCATGTTAACAAGCTTCATCAGTGCCACGTGGGCTGTTGAAGGTGCAGCCTCAAAGCCTCCATGGTTGTTATAAGCTCTTTAGATTGTTGGCTTACTAGTCTTAAATCAAAGCTCCATAATGCTACTTTAATGTTATCAAGAACACAGTAGAGTAACATCCATCCATTTTTGGTAACCGCTCCTCCTATTCAGGGTTGTGGGGGTCCGGAGCCAATCCCGGAGGCTGTGAGCACAAGGCAGGGAACAACCCAGGATGGGGCTCCAATCCATCGCAGGGTGCACACACACACACACACACACACACACCATTCACTCACACATGCACACCTCTGGGCAATTTAGTAACTTAAGTTCACCTTAGCATGTTTTTGGACCATGGGGCAAAACTAGAGAACTAGAATTCCACAACGACATCGTGGGAACAAGCCCTCTCCAACTATGTCAATTAGAAAATTTCAAACCCTCTGAACAAACAAATGACATACGTTCACGGTATGTTGTCTTGAGGATGATGATTGATATGTGTAGAATCATTAGTAAGAAGAGTCAAACATGTTGTCCTCTGTGACTGAGATTTAAATGCCAGCAAAACGGGAACTAATGTTTGTGCTGATCAAGCTTGTCAGATACACATGATTTAAGGTGAGTTCTCCACATTGAAAAGGAAGGAATG